CCTTATTGTTCCTGCTGCTGTGGCTGCTGCTGTTCCCCTTGGGATACCACTGGTCTAGAATGGTTACCTCTCAACTACAGTACTCTCAAAGTTCTTGAGCAGCCCGGATCCAGCAAGGGTGGTGGGAGCAGCGGGGAAGCCACCTGCCACCAGGGGAGTGTGAGTCTCTAGCAAGCAAGCAGCAGGTCTCTGGCTGCCCAGCACCCAGAGAGGGTGCTGGGACTAGCGGGGGAAGCCACCTACCACAAAGGGAGCGCGGGTCTCAAGGAAGCAAAGAGCAGGTCTCTGGCTGCCAGGTGCTTGGCGAGAATGGCAGGAGCTGTGTGGAAGCCACCTGCCACCCAGGGAGTGCGGGGCTCAATCAAGCAAGCAGCAGGTCTCTGGCTGCCTAGTGCCCAGAGAGGGTGGCAGGAGCAGCAGGGAAGCTGCCTGCCACCGGGGGAGTGCAGAGTGTGGGGAAGATCTGCATTTATCTATCTCTTCTCTCATCTCAGCTCTCCTCCTTCAGCTTTGTTGGGATCTTTCTGGCCGTTATCTCTCCCCCTGGACTGGAGTTTTTGTTAAAGAATGTCTCCAGTCTGCCCTCATCCCCTGTTCCCCCATATTATTGTTGAATGTGAAAATTGGGGTTAGGGAAAATATCCAACCCAAAGATTTAGCAACGTACAAAACACATTGACACCAAACAAACAAATAAATGGACAAAAATGTTACCAGACACACAAGTACACAGATGCACAGACAATCAGAAACAAGTAAATGAACAGTCAAATAAGAAACAAACAATAAAAAAGAAAAAAAAGGTAATCATAAAATGATAGAAATATATATATATAATTTTTAAAAAGAAAAAGAAAATTGAAAAAGAAAAAGAAAAAATCTCTATTAGACTGATGTATGCATTCCCAGCAACTAGTCTGTAGGAAGCAGTGCTATGGAGACGCCATTTTTGGAGTTTCACAATATATCTGCTTCCTGACTGGCCGCCCAGGCTCAGCTGTCCTGTTTCAAATGACACCCTCTATCTGCCCTCCAAATTCAGCACAGGTGTCCATGCTTCAACAGATTATCCACTCAACTCCTAGTTTTTTCTCGAACTGGAAATTATAGTCTTCCCTGGGGAAGGGGGTGGTTGCCACTGATGCCCATGGATTCAACGCGGAGTAGAAAAGAGTTTCCAGTCTCTGTGAGGAAGGGACCAGCCGCCACCAATGCCCACAGACTCCACACAGAGCACAAAAGAGCCCTCAGCCTCTGTGGCCGCCACCAGTGCCAGGGGATTCAGCACTGAGCACTAAAGAGCCTCAGCCTCCGTGGCTGCCACCATGCCTGTGGACTCAGCATGGAACATGAAAGAGCCTTCAGCCTCCACGAGGGGGTGACCAGCCATGGTTGATGCCCACAGACTCAGTGTGGAGCCCAAAAGTCTTTTCCATCTCTGTAGGGGAGGGTTTGGTTGCCTCTGTCACTCACTGCTTCACTGTGGTGCCACAAAGACTTTTCTAAAATTACAAAGTGTGTCTGTATCCTAAATGGGTCCTTTTCCCTTACTTTTCTATCCAGCCACCTAGACCTCTGACTCTCCAAATGGGGTCCAAATGGCTTCCCTTTCTGGTTGCTGAATTCCACACAGGAGTCCACACCTCACCACACTCTGCAAAACACCCAAACTCCCCACTAATTGGGAACAGCAGTCGTCTATGGGGGAGGGATTGGTTTCTGCCATCTCAGGCCACCAGCCACCAGCCGCTGCCCATTGGCCACTGCAGCTGGCACTGCTTCAGCTGCGGTGCTAAGTTCTCTCTGGCAGATACCATGGTTTTGGGTCACAATTCCAATCCAGGATTCTGCCTCCTTGCTGCACAGCCTTCTTTGCCTGTCTGTGCCAACACTCCATGCAGGGAAGGATCCAGCACTCCCACTCTCACCTAAAACCCTGAGGAGAATTGATTCAGAGATGCATCCCCTCTGCCATCTTGCTCCACCTCCCACTTAATATTCTTAAATATTTTCTTTTTTTATGCTATTATTCTCCATCTTTTCATTTTTTTCTATTAGTATTTTCATCATATTTTCTATTATGCCACTTTTAGATTTATGGTTTTGTGGTTTTTTCCCATTGTCTACTTTTTATTCTCATACTTTCTATGTGCTTTGTGTGGGGGTTATTTTGTTTGTCTTGTAATTGTTTAGCTTTTTTTTCTGTGATGATTCTCTTTATATGTTGAGTTTTCTTTTTTTTGAAAAAAATGACAAATTTTATTACATGAGTTAATTTTTATGTCCAAGCACAAAGATAATGAAATATATTTTCCATGCAAAATATTATATCCATTAAATTACTTACGGTGGTAACAATGCAGTGTAGATTTCCTGGGAAACAGACTCTGTGATAGAAATATACAAGCAAGAAGTGTATTTATTGGGCAGGGCTATCTACAGTGAGGACCAGTGAGAGTGGAAGAATGAAGCAGGATAGACAGAGCAAGAAGTTGAACTCTATTGAAGTCCCAACAAATGTCTCAGTCGATCCCTTGAGGAACCTCTAAAGTTGGGAAAGCCCTCAAAGATGTCTGAATTGAAGCAATGGCCAGTCTTTGGATATCTGCCACCCCACAAACATGAACCTTGAATGAGACAACTCTCTTTAGCCAGGGGCAATTTCCAGAGAAGAACTCAGCAGAGAGCAGCCAACTACCAATAGTCCCAATGGCTGAGGGAAGAAGTGCTTCAGTCTCAAAAGGGTTGAGGGATTTGTGAGAATCTGGGAAGCACATCATAGCATCGACTATGATGATCAAAAAGAACAATCCATTTTTCATAATTTACAGCAAAGTTCTGCCTCAATCCCAGATACAATTGAACTTGAAATTATGAAAAGGTAAAATTCTAGCAAGAAAACAAAGAAATCACCTGAAATGCCAGCTACTGGAATTATGGAAACTTTGATAGTAAGAGAGAAAAAACAAACCCCCCAAAAGGCCTCTAAATAGAAAAATTTTGTGTGTGTGTGAGACAGGATCTCACTTTATTGCCAAAGCTAGGTTTGAACTTCTGGGCTCAAGCAGTCCTCCTGACTCTACCTCTCAGTGGCTTCAGCCTCCCTAGTAAGAACTGTAGGCACAAGCTCCCAGGCTTATCTTGCTCTTTGTATGACTAATATTTTTATTTATCTTTCACTCTGAGGAAATCTAAAATTCATCAGTTAAAGGCAATAGTCTTAACTGTATATCTTCATAAATTTTTACACATGTACACACTTTCATAATTACCATCCATCAAGAGATAGAACATTTTTAAAATCCAGGAGGTTCTTTTATGCCCATTTCAAGTCCATTTACCACATAGAGTAGGCCATTATCTGACATATGTTCATGAAGATTGATTTGCCTATTCTAGAAAAATATAAAAATTAAATCTTAAAGTGATACTGGAATTTCTCTTCCAGTAGGTCCTACTCAGTAAGTCCTTGGTCTCAGGAATTCAAAGAATGAACCCATGGACCACAGATCAGTGGTAAGATAGGATTTTTATTAGACAGAAGGAATACAGAAGGAGTAAAAAGCACCAGAGCTTCTCGAAGGAGGAAAGAACTAACTGGGGAGTCTCTACTTGGGCTTTTTATCTAGGGTTTTTAGGTCCTGAGAATTATCTTAGCTAAGACTTGGTAGGTGGAAAAACATCTTTTTAAATTTAATGAGTACATTAACAAATGAATGAATATAGTCTTTCCTCCACTAGGACAAGGTTATCAGGTCCTTAGAGTTTTTGTCTCACAGAAGGGATTAGGGTGGGTGCTTCCTACTCAAGGTGAAACCACCCAAAAAACCATCTCAGGCTGCTTTGTTCATAATCTTGTTAAAGCCCAGAGGGTGTGTCTTTAAAAAAGCAGCCTGTTTGTGCCTGGAAATGGGGGTCTGATTTCTGAGCTCACATGGGCCTAGAGAATGGGGGGCTCCCTGTCCAGCCCTGAGTAGTGGGATCCTGTATCAATAGAATGTGCTTTTTGAGGTCTGAACTCTCACTCAACATTATGTCTGTGAGATTCATTCATGTGTTCACAAGTAATGCTGAAAACATATGTCAATATAGTGCTTACAAGCATCTCCCCTAGTCTGTATGTAGGCCTTTGATTATCTTCAATGGCAACTTTTAATGAATAGGCGCTCCGAACCAAAACAAAGACCTACTTATAAATTTTTCCTCATTAGTGATTTTTTTGTCCTCTTTTAAAAAATATTTGCAGAGTTCAAGATCTTACATTCCTTCTCTTTTGTTTCACATTAAAAGCTTGATAGGTTTAGTTTGTCATGCTTAATGTCTATGATCCATTTCAAATTAGTATATGTAAAAAACTTGTAGGGAACAATTTGCGTTTTCTTCCAACTTAATATCCATTTGATCTAGTATTGATATGGGTATTAGATAGCTAGGAACAGCTCTCCTGGGAAGGAGGACAAGGCAGAGCCCTTTATTTCATGCTTGCACAGAGAATCACAATTAGCTAGAGGTGAGAGCTCAGGGCCTTCTCAGGTCTTTTCTGATCATGTATGGCCTTTTAATGTTTCTGGCATATGTAAGAGCTCTTCAAATTTTCCTAGGAGCATCTCATTCCCCAGATCTTTCTTCTAGGCTTTTTAGCTCTTCTATTGATTTCTCCAACTGTTATCGACCACTTCAAGCATCCTCCATGTTCAAAAATGCCCCTATCTGCAACAGATGCCCCTCAGGAAAACACTGTTTGTACTGGACTGAGGGAAAATACCTGAGTATTAAGTATTATAATAATTAGTAGTAATAAGTTCTAGGAGAACATATCTTCTCAAGGAGACTACAAGGATACACCTGCAGAGTCCTCTCCATGGTGACTCAGCTCTTGGGAATTTGTAGACTTAACTTCCTGGAACTTGGAAATTTCCACTTCTATGAAATCCTGTAGTTCTGTGGGGGGTTGGGACAGCATCTCCTGCTTGATGCAAACTGACAAATGAGAAAGGTACCTGTGGGTTGGAACTTTTTGATTGGAGATAATAAGGGAACGAGCAAGCCAATCAGGGAGCACCGCCATTTTGAATTCTTCTATGCCATAAACTCCACCACCTAAAATAAAGCCCCTCCTTTTATAAACATGGTGTTTGGGTTCTCTTCCTCTCCATTGAGTCTTGTCTTCCTGCAACAGGACAAGCTCAGAGTTAGATCAGATAAAGACACTCTGCATGTAGGGTCTTTCTAGAAAACCTTAAGACAGATCAAGTAATGATAATTCTCTAGAAATTTGGCTTTGAAGGAGCTCCAACCCTATTCTGCATTCTCTAGGAAATATTGGGCACTACTTTTTACCCTGATTGTGGGCCATAGCTTTTCAAGTTTACCTCAGTGCTGAGAAGATAGAGGACAGAAATAAGGAAAGTTAAAATAGCCCAAAGCTCACAGCTCTTTCCAACTCCATTTGTCAAGAAAAAACATTAGCAGATTGCTGCAAGTTCAGTTACATTCCAGAGTTCTGGAAAAGATTGATATGACAATGTTCACAGTGTTCTCATTATTTCACGTTAGAGAGAATTTTCAAGAGTCTTTATTACATCATTTTTTCTGACATTTTCCAGTCCAATATTAAATAGGACTGATGAGAGTGAATGATATTGTTTTTTCTTGAATGTATAGGGAAAGAATGCAATATTTTATCTTCAATGAAAAAATTATCTGTAAAATTTGGAGGTACCCTATCTTAGAATAAATAAGTCCTTCCTTTTTTCTCACTTCGTTAAGAGTGGTTATCATAAACAAATACTGCACTTTACATTTGTTGAGATGATCATGTTTTGCCAACTGCATTCTTTTATTATATGCTGCACATTGTATATCAAATAATGCAATGACAATGTGAGGGTCAGGATGACATTCCTTTTTCCAGACAAAAATATGTGCACAGCAAGCAGAAAGTAGTTAAAAGTGGATTGATATAATATAATCAATGCTGCCATTATTGAAAGTAGGACCATGGCATTATATGCTACATAAGAACTCTTCAACTTCAGGCTTATTCTTAATCTTTGCTTACAAATCTTCATGGTGACCTTCAGGTTTCAATTTAAGTCAAAATATTTATATAGTCTTTCCTACTTGACAAACTCTGACTCCTATTATTTTCTTCTAATCCTGAGACTCTGCCAAGATTTTTTTTTCAATTCTAAAACTTCTAAATGACACTTTGTAGTCAGCATCTCTGCCACAAGCTTCTGATTTAAAATAATCATTCCAAGGGTAGAATCACATAAAATATCAGGCTTTCCAATAAGGATTTCTCACCCTCTGTTATCTTGTTGCCACAAAGTCTTACAACTTTTGTCACTTTTGTATATTGGCAAACAAATATATGTTTATATGTATGTGAAAGAGAGAAATGGATACAGAAACAGATACAGACATAGATATGCAGTAGATCTTATTTCTAGCAATGTTTTATCATTGCAATGAAATATCATCTGCAAAGGTTTTCTACTTGAAAAATCATGAAAGGCAATCAAAAATTACTGAATCTCCCAAAGAATTTCATCCTCAGTATTTATAAGGATTTGGGCAAATAATGGTAGAAAATTAGGCACGCATATAATTTTGCTACACTACATTTAACCATCTATAAAAAAATGAAAGTTTATATATTTTATAGTACAATCATTCCACAAATAAGAAATCATCTAATGAAATAGTACCAGAACCATAAAATGTATAAGCACATAGTAGCATTTGTATATTAACAAGAGTCCTAAATATCATTGAATATGGAGGTATGAGTTTAGACAAATTAACAACATTATCCTAGATAAAGTGCTCTGTACCTCATTACATCACTACTGTCACCAAGAGGCCAAGGGGAGTACTTCAAAGTTTACTGTAGTGATATTGAGGTATGTAGCACTTTTTCTAGGATGAAAAAGTAATTCTGAAAACTATGAAATAACTGTGCAATAGATTATTATCAGACACATTTACTTATACTGCTTATAAAAATGTCTATGATATATCATTATATATGGCACTTTAAAATCATAACTGTATTAAACACATGCATAAAAACACACAAGGGGTCTTCAAAAAGTTCATTAAATGCACATATTATGAAAAGACTATGTATGTATTGCAAAACTTTTTTGTACCAAAATAAACTTATAATAACTTGTTACAACATATCTGAACAGAATGCAGTTTGTGGCACTAAGATAAGACATCAGTTTGAAAAAAGCCTCTGTCAGAGCAACATGAGTTCCATGAGAATTGAAGCAAGAACAAATATCAAATTTATACTAAAGGTTTGGTATAACAATAGTGACATCACTTATGCGTTATGAAAAATTTAAGGGAACAAAGTCCCAAAGGAATCAGCATTTATAAGTGGATAACTCATTTTAAGAAGGGATAAGCTGATGTTGAAGATGAAATCCTCAGTGCTAACTATCCACATCAATTTGTCAGAGAAAAAACATTGTTTTGTTCTCTGATTTAAAAAGTCTAAACATTAATAGAACAAACAATAGCTAACACCACAGATATCTTAACTGGTTTACTGTACACAATTCTCACTGAAAAATTAAAGTGGAGCAAACTTTCCCTCCATTTGGTGTCAAAATTGTATCCAGATCAGCTACAGACAAGAGCAGAGCTTTTGCTAGAAATTTTACACAAGTGGATCAAGATCCTGAAATATTTCCTCAAAGAATTTTAACAGCACATGAAACATGGTTCTACCAGAGTGTCCTAAAGATAAAGCACAATCACAATAATGGCTACCAAGAGGTGGAAGTGATCCAGGCAAATCAAAGAAAAAGTGGTCCAGACAAGAGCAAAGGTCATGACAACAGTTTGGGGGGATGCTCAACACATTTTCCTGTTGACTTTCTGGTGGGCCACAGAGCAATAACATAGGAATGTTAGCCAAAGCTTTATAGAAAAACTTCTAGAAAAAAAAAAAAATCACCACAAAGGCCTTCGCAACAATGATCCTGCTCGTTCACCTCACCAAATGGGGCAAATTGTAAGATTTTTATTGGGAAATCATTGGGAATCCACCTAATAGTCCTAATTTGTCTTTTTCTGACTTCTTTTTTACCCTAATTAAAAAAAAAAATCTTTAAAGAAAGGGCAGCACCTGTGGCTCAAAGGAGTAGGGAGCTGGCCCCATATGCCAGAGGTGGCAGGTTCAAACCCAGCCCTGGCCAAAAACTGCAAAAAAGAAAAAAAAATCTTTAAAAGAAATCTATCTTGTTAACTCCTGTTCCCCCTCTCTCTCCCACTCCCCCACCC